CAAAGAAGGGGAGAGGGAGGAGGGACGCCCCCATTTGGCTGTTCAGACCTAACAAGGACATATCAGAACTAGATGTAGACCCTAACACATGGGTATGGTACGAGAGGAGAGGATGAGGTAGAACCCAAAAATGGACCACCCTGTACGAATACACAGTTAAAAAAGGTTACAACATTAGGCGCAAGACAGAGAATCCGCAGCCCACCATACTGGCAAGATGGGAAAAGAATCTGCAGATGGACCCTGTCTCCCTTCAGACAATACCATGGACTTTTTATGCCTCCACTAAACCTCAACGAATAAGGAGCCTCCAATGGTTAATCATCTATCTAGCAGTCCCTGTCAATGCGTGGCTGGACTCAAGGCGAAGAGAGGAACACAGATCAGAAACTTCAGCACATTGCCAGATGTGTCAGGAACAAGGAAGAGAGACTCTAACTCACTGCTTTTTGCACTGTCAACATGCCAAATCCCTCTGGGACAAGTGCAAAGGAGCATGGTTCAAACTATCCCCCACTGAATATCCCATGGATCAGCTTTTCCTCTTGACAGCAATCGACCACGGAGGCTTAGTCCCCGAGGAAGATGGGGAAATCATAGAGCTGCTGCCAAGAACAACCCTGTGGGTGATCTGGAGAGCTAGATGCAGGGGCACAATTGGCAAAAAGAAGATATCAACATATGAATCGTGGGAAGAGGCGAAAGAATTGGTGGAAACAGGAGTCCGAGTGGAATTGAAGCAAACCCTGAGCAAGATGGAGAAGGAAGTGGAAGTACAGAAAAAGACCAAACTGCAGAAAGAATTTGAGAAGACATGGCTAAAGGGAGGGTTATTGGCACGAGTAACGGGAAGAACCCTCCATTTCACAGACTGGTGGGATCCAGCCACCACAAGGACAGAGCAGGACGGAGAAACACTGATGTACCTGGAGTGATCGGGAAAGGGCATTCTGCCTCATTCGACCCTTACAGAGAAACACGGCATGCAGAGGGTTTAGGGTTTAAGGTGCTTAGGAGAGTGACAAACCCGCACTTAGTACGCACCCTCTAAGGTTTAAGATTTAAGCAGAAGATAGGATGGAGACGAGAAGGAATCATCGGATAAGACCCGTAAGGAAAAGAAGAAACAGAAATTCCAGCATGAAGTTGATGTAAGTATTAAGGTGGGAAGGGACAGCCTCGGGAAAGGACTCAGAATGACCAGGCGACAGGGAAAGAATAAGGGCCCAGAACCCAACCCAGGCGCAATAGAACAAATAGGTCAAAAGGTCCAAGCACAGTACAAGCCTCACTTTATGAGTGCCTGAAGAACTACAGCGGAGAGGAGACGGAGCCCAAAGGGAAGACTGGCGTCAAGGGGAACTAGCAGCTCCAGCACTTAAAGCTAAGACAGACAGCCCATCAGCTGGGAGGAACAAGCTAGTAAGGGAACATATAGGAGCCTAGCGGACAAAGGGTAGAGACAGACAAAGGGGAGCAGTCAAATCATTCAGAGATCCAGACATGGTAGGAATCCATGGGATAACTTAGACAGGAGTGAGGGGTGGTACATCCTTCCTGTGGAAGTAATCAATGTCGTCCACTCGGGCCTCCGAACCATAATGGGGAGGAGAGTGAGCGTGTCTTCGATGTATTCATTTATGACTTGCCGGTGGAATAGGAAACGGACTGACGCTCCCCAGAATTGACATGGAGCCAGTACCATAAGGTCCTGTTTATTTAAAAAGAAAAAAAGTATGCACATGGAAAATTCGGTTTCTTAGGAGGTAGCAGAGGCCACTGGTTCAAAATAAAATAAAATAATAATAACAATAATAAAATTCTTAGGAGGACAATGAAAATCGCCACCTCTGTACAAGCATAACACACACGAGCCGACAAAAAAAAACAAAAGACGTACACAAACTGGAAAAGAAGATTAGCAGACCGATTGATGCTCCCCACTCAAGGTCTCCCTTCATTAGTGCCCTACAGTACGCACTACGGAGGGAAACTTCACAGCTGCTTGGGCTCAGTGATGCGGCCGCCGGTCCGCTTCAGCAAGCAGTTTTGCCGCCACTGCGGCTGGGAGAAGGCGTGTAAGTGGGAAGCAGGCAGGCCAGGCAAAGTGCGGGAGTTTCTGAACCCCCACCTCACCCACTCAGGGTCTCCCGACCATAATGGAGAGAAGCATCAGGATAAATAAATATTGTATTTCCTTGACTTGGTGGAGGAATACAAACCAGACTGACGCTCCCCAGAATGGATATGGAGCCAGGGCCATAATGACCTGTTATTCACAAAAAAAAAAAAAAAAGGAGAATGGACAAAGAGCCAGGACCATAAGGAAGGAGAGAGAGAGAGAGAGAGAGAGAGAGAGAGAGAGAGAGAGAGAGAGAGAGAGAGAGAGAGAGAGAGAGAGAGAGAGAGAGAGAGAGANAGAGAGAGAGAGAGAGAGAGAGAGAGAGAGAGAGAGAGAGAGAGAGAGAGAGAGAGAGAGAGAGATTGGGGGGTAGATGAGGTGGTGAGACAACTCACGGGAGGCTCTTCCTTCTGGCGAATCAGCAGCTGGAAATTTATCTGGGTGGTAAAGAATGGATGGTCCTTGATTTCCTTGGTTCCTAGGCAGCCGCTCCCCAAACGAAGATCGGGATTAGGTTCCAATAACCGCCGTATGATGTCCATGGCATTCTCGCTCATGTACCACGGGTAAATAATCTGACCAGAGATGATCTTCTGGAAGACAACCTGCCGTCACAGAGGCCCATCATTGACACATGTCGAAAAACAATTTAAAAATTGAAATCATCAGCACTGCCATCCTCTCTGTTTCAAGCACACATCACCATCAATCAGCTTGCATGGTTGCCTGTCTTCTTACCATCTTCATCTTTTCTTTCGCCGCCTCCTCTATGACACGCCCATCCATCCATGTGTTAAATGAACTTCAACCGTGTTTAGTACCCTGTTTACTTTCCTTCCTTCTGACCATCTTCTTCTTCTTCTTTTTCCTCCTCCTTCTCAACTGCACCCTGCTGTTACTTACAATATGATCTGTTATATGCTATTACGAGAATTTACGACAGTGAATTCCTTGTAGCTATGTCATCTGTCAAGGATACATCACCATCAATGGGATTTTTTTTTCACTTCTGCGCTTTCATATGCTATCTTACCATCATCATCTTCTTCACCTTTCTCCTCAATGGCGTCCTTCTGTTGTTCCTCAAAAGAATCCCCTCCACCATCTCCATGGTATCCATCTTCTTTCTCCTCTTCCTCAGTGGCATCCTCCTGTTCCGCAATTTAAGCCACTGGTACGTCCGATTTTCTCCAGGCTTGAAACGTCATGCGCGCCAAAGAAAAATGAACCGAAGTGGGTCTCCTTTTGGCTTGGGCGGACAGCCATTTTGGTCCAGCAGCCAACCCCTGAAAACTGCGGCGTGCATGAAGCCGCGTTGGAGAAAAATGGCTCGTAAATGTGGTGGTGGATTAAGGTGCTGCTGCTGCTGCTTGTTGATGTTGTTGCCGTTTTCGTCGTCATCGTCGTGGTTGTTGTTGTGGTTCTTGTTGGTGTTGGTGTATTGATGTTGTTGTTGGTGGTGCTGGTGGTGGTGACGGTGGTGGCGGCAGCTGTGGCAGTGGCACTTGTGGTGGTGGTGGTGGTGGTGTAGGTGTTGTGTTGGTGTTGGTGCTGCTGGTGGTGTTGATGTTGGTGTAGGTGTTGGTGTAGGTGTTGGTGGTTGTGGTGGTGGGGTGGGCCAGAGGGGCAGAATGGAGGCTGGAGTTGGTGGCTGTTGTGGTGGTGGCAGGCGAGGGGGGGGAGGAGTGGGAGGGCCGAGTTGGTGGTTGTGGTGGGGATTCTTGCGGTTGTGATGGTGGTGGCAGCGGTTGTAGTGGTGGTGGTTGTGGCGGTGGTGGCGGTGGTGGTGATGGTTGTGGCTGTGGTGGTGGTTGTGGTTGTGGTGGCGGTGATGGTGATGGTGATGGTCGTGGCTGTGGTGATGGTTGTGGTGATTGTTGTTGTGTGGTGGTAGTGGAGGTGGTTGCGGTTGCGGTTGTGGTTGTGGTCGTGGTCGTGGTTGTGTGGTGGTGCTGGTGGTTGCAGTGGTGATGGTTGTGCTCGTTGTTGTGGTGGTGGTGGTGGCTGTGGGTGTTGTTGTTGTTGTGGTTGTGGTTGTGGCTGTGGTTGTGGTTGTGGTTGTGGTTGTGGTTGTGGTTGTACTCGGTGGTACAGTTGTGGTTGGTGGTGGTGGGGTGGTTGTTGTTGTGGTTGTGGTGGTGGTGGTTGTGGTTGTGGTGGTGGTGGTGGTGGGTTGTGGTGGTGGTGCTGCTGCTGGTGGTGCTGGTGGGCTGGTTGTGGTTGTTGAGGTTGTGGTCACTATTGTTGTTGTTGTTGTTGTTGTTGTTGTTGTTGTTGTTGTTGTTGTTGTTGTTGTTGTTGTTGTTGTTGTTGTTGATATTGTTGTCATTATTGTGGCTGTTGTTGAAGGAACATTAGTGTTCATTGTGTTTATTCAACTTGAGGATCTTCTCAAAAATAGCACCCCCAAGCACACAATACCTTTCTCGGCCATTTGGTGACAATCAACTGTAGCACTTGATCAAGGGCGGAAAAAAAAGCACCACTGAGGGCATACACAAACGAGGATTTTTTGACAGATCTCTGGACGTAATTGAGGCCAGATACATCACGACCACCAATAATCACCTTATCTTACAGTCTTCTTTCAAGTTATATATTGTCACATAACTATGAACCAAAAGAGCGCACTTTGCGAAACAAACGGTAAAGATAAAAAGACAAAACAAAGACGAGGGGCACACTGAAACTATTCATTTTTCTCATTCTTCTTTTAACTCCCTCTTCACTGTGCCTCTCGCGTACACGGCTCGCCACATTGATGAAGTTGAGCGTGAGCTGCCCTCATCGCCATGTGCCATAACGGCCCACTTGTACGCTGTGAGAAAGAGGCAGAGTAAAGGGGGAGGTGATAAAGTCAGATAAACACAAGGAAGAGAGATGAAGAGGAGAGAAACAAAGAACGAAAAAGGGAAAGGATAAAAAAAGGGCTCAAGAATGAGTCTGTCCTTGATGACAGAGAGGACACACATTGTAAGGATGAGGTGGATGGGCACATGGAAAACCTAGTTGAGCATTCTCAGCATAACAATTGTCAGGACGGCTGGCATCGAGCATGCCCAACATACACTCCCGACAAATGGCATGTTGATTGCACATCAGAATGAAGGAAGAATGCTCACCACAAAAGACCGTGCATTCAGTATAGCACCCATGGCCGCAAAACGGACATATAGTGTCCGGATGCGGAGGGTGCCTGCAGTCAGGAATGGAGGGACAGTCCTCTACACACATAGATACAGAAACCATGTCATTGTAGTGATTGTGGCAGAGACAATGGCGACTACAGCCGAGTGTAACAATGTCTGTAGCAGTGCAACGGAGAAGGTCGCAGAGTGTTGGTACATTGTCGTGCTGCAGCATGGGGCCAAAGGAATGATCTTCGGTACAGTTCGGTGTGGCAAGAAAACAGCATCATCATGCAAGAAATCAGTAACATCAGTTATGGCATCGACCATGATACCATTGTTCCACAACTCCCAGTGGTCACAGGTACGTACAATGGCCATGTAACGGCCAGGTCCGTGCACAATGCAGGCAAAGGTGTGGGATGGAGGATTAAACCGCTCACCTGCTCGAGCATTGCGTAGCTCAAGTTGGCGGTCCTTCATTGCTACTTGTAGGACAGCAATGGCAAAGCCTTTTTCCCTGGTATAATTACAATCCTCTGGTTGTAGGTGCGGGAGGTTGGTATCAAGCAGAAGGGTGATTGCAAGGAAGTTTGATGGTGTATAAAATGGGCGGTGGGGAGAATGTGACGACATATATTAGTTGCAGTCAGACCACAGAGATTGGTGAGGATCTCAGGCTGGCGTTCCGGATGCTGGCCAACAATTTGCAGATCGCCCAGTTGGTGTTGCAATCCCAAAATGTCTTGGGTTGCCTTCTGGTCAGTCATTTGCAGATCATCCATGAGGTCTGCGCGTGGTCGGACACAAATTTGTGGTTCATCCAAACGATGCTGGTCAGCCATTTGCAGATCCCCCATTTCGTCTATGCCTTGTGGGGTTAACTGCAATCCGAGCAGATTATGTTCCAATCCCTCAACGTTTGGGGCCGCATCCTAAGTAGGAACTGTGCCTGAAATCGAGAGTGTACTCTGGGCAAGGACCACATCCTGTTGTACAGGTGATTCGTGAATATCCAACGCTGAAGGGCACAAAACATGGTGTTGTGGCTGCCTGCAGGCAGCTGGACAGGCCTAAGAGCGGATATTGCCGTTTGGAACAACGGAACCGCAACAACCTGTGGAGCAGGCACAGAGAGAATCGGGGCAGACAAAGAAACAGGCTGCTGATCCCAGACAAGTGACGATGTCGCACATGTCGTCAACGATAGACAACAAGAGTAGTGGTGTTGCAAACAAAAGATGAATATGTCCCTGGCCACGAAGGTGGAACAATGGGAAAAATGGAAGCCGGAGAGACTGTTTGCAAGCAAGACCATGGAGGAGATGGGGGTGGCGTGGAGGAACGCAGCCGTCTGCGGCCAAGCACAAACGGAGATGAAAGGGGGGTGGATAGGGCAAGATTTCAAAACAAAGGACGTGAGTGTCGCAGAGACTGTGATGTTCTTTGTGCTGGAGATGCAACAGAGAAAGTTATAGCAGCAAAAAGGAGAGTACAGTGAATTCCCGCAGTAGAAACTGCAGCAGCCGGAGCCGTGGAGGCTGCAGCAGTGCAAACCGCAGCATTGGAAACCGCAGCATTGGAAACCGCCGCGGTGGACACTGCAGCGGTGGACACTGCAGCAGCAGAAACTAATGCAGCAGTGGAATCTGCAGTAGCGGAAACTGCCGGAGTGAAAACCGGAGCTGTGGAAATTGCACCCGTGGAAACTGCAATAGTGAAAACCGCAGCAGTGGAAACCGCAGTAGTGGAAACTGCAGTAGCAGTAGATGAGCAAGCAAGAGCAGGACAAGAGCGGCGTGGACGCAAGGAAGAAAGTGGATGATGCAGGGACCATCGTAGCATGTGTCGAAACCACTGAGAAAGACGTATCACATGCGTAGGATAGTGACGTTGGCAGGAGCGCATGTAGCAGGTCCACCCCTTAGCAAGGATTGGTGGGGAATGCCCACGAGAAAGCATGTGACGAGTAAGTGTTGTTGCCGCGGTTCGAAAGTCCTGCCAATTGTTACAGATTTGTTCAAATCTGGTCAATTGTCCAGTGAACATACCCGCCGGTTTGATGGGAAGGGATGTTGGAGGTCACACTTGGATAACGAGTGACAGGCAAATCCCAAGCAGCTGCTTTATCAAACACAACACGCTCGTGCGAAGCGCGCCATCAGAACAGACCCGTAAATGCATACCTATGTAGTCTCCTTCCACTTGGGTTATAATATATTATGTCATGTTTGAGAATTGTAACGTTTTGATGAACTGGCCGTTTCATCGATATATTCTGAGAGGTGAAAGGTCCACCAAGTATGTGTACTTTAGCATGTACGCACCTGTCTGCTTCTCAGGAAATTTCAGCATACTTGCACCTTCTATTTTGTCTCTTCTCTTAAACCACCAAGCCCACCAAGCCCATTTGTACAAGAACTGAAAAAAAAAACAAAAAAAACGAGCGCTATCCAGCATGAAAATCACTCCTCCTTAGGTGACAACAACTTTAATCGCACTATGCATTTGATTTGGCGTAAGTAATTGTTCATGCCGTACACGACATGGTAACTGGCCAGACGTCCGAACCGGGTTCCAGACAGTCCGGAACAACATGTGGGGAGCGGTGTCTGCTCCATGATCTCCAGAGGGAGCCGCCCAGGGAAAAAATCAAAAAAGAAAAAGGGGCGGCCCCGGACGTTTTTCGGGTCCTGGCCGCCCCCTGAAAAATAATGGGCTGGGCTATGGAAGTGGACACCTGTCACACCTCTACAGACCGGACAAGGCCGGTTCGGGTATGGGCTATGGAAGCACCGCATCCACTTCTTGCAGTTGCTGCATCGAATGGCACGTCGACAGATGTCGCAGACTACATAGCTCCTACATGCTAGGAGCACAGAGGCATGCCGGCCACAATTGTGTAGGCATTGTCGTTCCGGGCCCTGTCTACAAATTGGACATGACATGTCAGGGTGCCGTACATGATTGCAATGCTGACTGTCATCAAACGTATGAAAACAAACACTCGCATGGGCTATGCCTTCATAATCGTCATGACACCAAGCATGTGAATCACATATTAGCCAAATCTGAGTTGGGCCATCACAAAGCAGCATTGAGGAAGTTGATTGGGTTTCTGCAGTCATTACTCCCTCTCCACGGTCAGGTGACGACAAGGACTGATCCAAAGGTAAGGGTGTTTAGCTATTGCAAGATTTGGCCTGCAACAGGCTGTGCGCGTGTTTCAAATTTCCACCACAACAGCCCCTATTCCACCCAGATGAGTAGATCCGAAATGGAAGCAGCTTTAGGAGGTTGAACCTGTCAGTCTCCCCAGCATACATTTGACTGATGGATAAGGACTCACCAAATCACCCAGAGTTGGCAATACCCCTGAGAAAAGTTCACTTTACTCCCACCTGAATTTTATCTCTACACTAGAAATTCCACTTTCCTCAACCTCGTGTGTGTGCGTGTGATAAGGAATCCCCGCAACCAAGAACCAACCTCAATAATAATCAGAGATAAAGTGTGTGTGTGTGTGTGTGTGTATGTGTGTGTGTGTGTGTGTGTGTGTGTGTGTGTGTGTGTGTGTGTGTGTGTGCAAATCTACCCGCTTGCACACCTGATCGACCTTGGCAAGGGAATCATAGTTATTGTCCATTATACGCCTAGCACTAGCTAGCAGAAGAAGTGCACCAAACACCATGGAACCAGCAAAGAAATAGAAGGAACAAGAAGCTGACGCATGTAGCAGAAAGACCGAGTACAGAGAGGTCACCTGCACGAATACACCTGATAATATAGCTAAGCAAAATGCAGAAGGAACCCACTATTCTGAGGCACAGGGCTGCCAAGCTCTGTGAAGTAGAGGCCACAACTGGCCATACCGTCCATCTGTCATACTGGCCACAGCTGTTCTCTAGGTCATATTAAATTGTTCAGAAAAAAAAAAAAGAAAAAAAAAAGGTCATATTGGCAACACACCTGATCTAATTGGATGCACCACCACTCCTCAGCAGAACAACCAAGACCACTAAGCCATCTCTTTTTATCTTTTTTTTTTGTTCACAATGCCATATACCAGTGTTTTGTTCTGTTGCATTTGGATTCACACTTGAGTCTGCATAAATTTTGAACATTGTTTTATTCCGTTACATGAACTTGCATCTGGATTCGAATTTGGGTTTCCCAACTGAGATAGGCTTGTTGATGGGGAACACTAAGCCGTCTTCGTCATGCCTAATATTGCCTGTAGCATCCAAATAAGATGGCTTTGCAGTGTTGCACAGATCACACCCAAACTGGGCCCGTCCGATTTGCCTCAGAGAGGAAAGACATGCATGACCCCAAACTTGCCCAAAGCACATTGGCCCTGAAGTGCTAAACAGGCAGCCTGTTTGTTGTCTAGCCTTGTCTTTTCTTTTCGACGGTCTGGTGTGATGGTGGGTGGGGGAGGGCGCAGATGGCGCCCAGTAGGAGAAGGAAAGGGGCCAGGAGTTCGGGAGTGGGAAGCGTGACACACAACATATTTCCAACCACATGATGCGTTATGCAAGGAACGGAACGCCGGCATGAGCATGGTCCACATAGGACGTTGGCTCACATACGCTTATAACATGGCCTACACCTCATGCCCGCAGGAGGAGGGATTTATACTACATGAAGGAAACAACTTATTATCAGCACTGGGCAGACGGACGAGAAGAATCTCGTCTAAGCGACTTATGTAGAAAATTGTCGTCTGTGTAGCCTATTCACATCAACGCTAAAGCTCCAAATGCATACTGAGCGGACTGAATTTTCATTAATTTATTTCTCTCTCTCTCTCTCTCTCTCTCTCTCTCTCTCTCTCTCTCTCTCTCTCTCTCTCTCTCACACACACACACACACACACACACACACACACACACACANACACACACACACACACACACACACACACACACACACCCCACCACCAAAGTCTACCGGACGACCTACCTTTCCCTAAGAAGGCAGCGTGCAAGGTGACGCATGGAAAACAGACTTGGGAGCACTACTGAATTAGGGGGCGGGGAGAGAGAGAGAGAGAGAGAGAGAGAGAGAGAGAGAGAGAGAGAGAGAGAGAGAGAGAGAGAGAGAGAGAGAGAAGCAGCAACCTAAGCTGTGCACGTTCCTCAAACGACGATCATCCGGTGACTTGCTCATTGCGAGTTGTTCCCCTCCGGACACGCCCAGTTACAAGACGCACAAACCATTCTACTGTCGGACATCAGTAGCGCACAAACCATTCTACTGTCGGACATCAGTAGCGACCAAAACCCATTGTTTCTTCACCACACACTCCTCTCCTCCTCCTCCTCCCTCTACTGTCGGACAGCAGAAGCGACCAAAATCCATTGTTTCTTTGCCACGCACTTCTTTTCTCCTCCTCCTCCTCCTCCTCCTCCTCCTCCTCCTCCTTCCTCACCCTCCTCCTCCCTCACCCTCCTCTTCCCCCTACTCCTACTCCCTCATCTTCCTTTTCCTCTAGGACTTCCTCCTCCAACCTTCCTCCTCGTTCCACTCATCCTTCTCTACATCTACTGTTCTTTCCCTCAACCTCCGAGCCGACTTCATTTTTTCTTTTCCCTTGTTCCTTTTTCCTTTCCCTTCTCATTTTTCTTTCTTTTTCCGTTTCTCGACCTCGTCTTACTGCTCACTGTGCTTCGGGAGTTTTGACTGCTCCCTTTGCTTCCGGAGTTTTGACTGCTCACTGATCACTGAGCTTCGGGAAGTCGACTGCTTAGTACGTCATCCATTTGCAAATGCCGAAGCAACACAGCTGCAAAACTCTTGGGAGCAATGACATGAGGAAGGTGGCCACTTATCGGTAGAACCTCCAGATGAACCTCTGGGGCGTTACACAAACGGTCTTTCGTAAAAGGGCCCACGGACTGAGGTACCGCAAAGTCGTTTTCTGTGACGAGAAGGTGCACCGGACAGGTCACTCGCTCCAACACCGACCGATAGTCCGAGGCGAAGATGGCCTTGGAAATCGCGACCGCAATCTCTGGCCGCATACTCAGCAGCCCGGCAGTCACGTACTCCACCGCCTTCTGGTACTCCACCCCCTCCTCACCAGCAGCGGAGGCATGACCCCACGGCGAAGCTCCGTCTGGGACTTCTCTGCCCTTCCTTTCTTCTGGATATTGGGATGCGCTGGGGCCAAGAAGCATTGCGGCGAACATCTTGGCCCAGGCAGGGTAATCGTCGACCATAGCCTGGAAGGTCGAATCGATGTCTTCTCGATCGAAGCCCCCGACGTAGGCGGAGTCATTAAGGTACCTTGGAGAACCCATCAAAGAGATAATTCGCCTGAACATTCGGGGTCGTTGCACGGCGGCAAGAATACCGATCATGGCAGACATTGAATGGCCGACGTAGATGATGTCTTCCAGGCTGCTGTCAACTCCACCTCCTCCTCCTCCTCCTCCCTCCTCTCCTCCTGCTCTACCTCCACATCCTGCTCTTCCACCTCCTCCCTTCTCTCCTCCTCCTAGTACGCCCTTGGCAAAGGGAGGAGACTGTCTCACTTCGTCCAGGATGCGCAGCAGGTCGTCAGCGAATCCTTGCAGAGTGGAATGACGGGAAGCAGAGAAGCAGCCAGGGTCGCATCGACCGGATCCGGCTAAGTCGTAAAGGAGAACGCGGTAGTTGCTCTCAACAAGATAAGGCAACACAGTCGCCCACACCGTCTGATCACCGCCGAAGCCATGGGCCAAAACGACAGTCTTGCGTCCCTTTCCTAAAATAGAAACATTGTGCAGGTCGGCAAGAGACGGGGAAGGGGAATCTGACGAAGCCATTAGCACAGGATGAGGAGAGGACAAGGGGATCATGGCGCAATCGGGAAAAGGATAAAAGCAGCACAAAAGAAATGAATAAAAGATGACGACGACAGAAGAAAAAAAAAACCGAAAAAAAGAGGAATAAATCAATCAATAAATAAATAAGAACCAGAAATGATCGAGGGAAAGGGAGGGAGGCGGAAGATGGGAAGGGAAGAGAAGGGAAATGGTGGAAAGGGGGCAAAAAGGATGAAAGACTGATCAGATTCCAGATGAGTGAAAAATGGTGGAACGCGGGAAAATGAAAGACTGATCTCCGAAAAAAAATAAAAAAAATAAAATAAATGAAAGACTGATCTCCAGATGAGTCAGTTTGAATCCAAGGTTAGAGACCTTAAGGCGAGGGAAAAAAAAAAAAAAAAAAAAAGAAACAAAGCCAAGGGATCGACTGATTTGCAGATAAATAAATTTGGACCCAAAGATGATCCAAGGAAAAAAAAAGGATAACCGTACGATCAGAAGAGGAATACAAGTTACTTTTTATTATTATAACTTAAAAAAAAACTAAAAGGATATAATCAGGAAAAAAAACTAAAAGGATAAAGTTCATAATCTGGAAAAAAACTTAAAGGGTAAAAGTTTATAATAAGGAAAAAAACTAAAAGGATAAAGTTTATAATCAGTAGGGATGTGACAAGAGGAGAGAAGATGTACTGTCAAAATCGCGGTCAGCTCGACAGAGTCGACACCCAGCAATGGAAGGTGCTCATCAGCTCGACACCCAGCAATGGAAAGTGCTCATCAACAGAAAATCAGACAATGCCAACCACAAACGTATAGACCTGCTTGACTCCTCAAGGCCAACGTGCTTTTTCCCAATCACTGGACGCTAAATCATGCTTCTTTTCAGAATCTCTCTTTCGCTCTCCTCGCCCTCTTCCCCACAGCCAACAAAAAAAAAAAAAAAAAAAAAAAAAAAAAAAAAAAAAAAAAAAAAAAAAAAAAAAAAAAAAAAAAAAAAAAAAAAAAAAAAAAAAACAGCCACTTTGCTAGGACTCAGAAGAGGAGAAGATGTCGAAAGTCAACGCCACTGCCTCGGTCAAACCTCCTTACACGCACGGGAAAGACTATCTCCAGCGCCGCGACACCTATCTTAAACTTCTCATAGGTACTTGCCATGTGTCGCAGCCTGGTTGGCTGGTGTTATCCTGCGCGAGATGTCAGCTCTTCTTCCCGTCCTTCTTTGTCTCTAAGTCTTCGCCGAAGTGAAGGCGTCGACTATCGATAGCTCCCTCTTCTCTTCTCTCTTCAAGCCCACGGCACCTCCACATAGTTGCACACTCCCTGTCTGAAACATTCCTTGTATGGTATGAGATATCCAATCCACATCCAATCCAATATGGATATCCAATATGGATATGGACGTCCCACGTCTCGGGTCTTCTTGACTGCTGTGCAACTTCTTTTTTTTTTTTTTTTTTTCTTTTTAAGGCTAATTCTTTAAGCCCAACCAATTCAATTACCTGTCAAATCTGGACAGGACGGCCTTTCAGGCCTTTCTTATTGTCATTATAGTATTACGGGGAACCCCGTATTCGCCACATCCGTGCTCAAGCCTCCAACGAGGGAACATGCGGGAGCTGCACCCACCAGCAGGTGCGATACCTGCTACAGCAGCAGGTGCACCACAACGTTTTTTATATAGCTACGTAATCTACCCCTCCGTATATCGAACAGCCTGTCACTCCGGGAGCCCCTTCCAGAGCCTTCGCTGGTACAGCAGGTGGACCACAACGTTTTTTATATAGCTACGTAATCTACCCCTCCTTATATCGCACAGCCTGTCACTCCGAGAGCCCCTTCCAGAGCCTTCGCTGGTAGCGCTGTGGAAGCACCACGCTTTGGGCCTGGCCACACGGTAAAAACGAAGCGCAAACGAAAACGAAACACGTGCATCTGCCCGCGAAATAGGCAAAATACAGTCCTTACTATTTACAGCAAACCGACGCACGTGTCAATTATCTGTGGGAAGATGCACTCGTTTCGTTTTTTTTTCCGTTTCTTCTTCTTTTTTTTTTTTTTTTTTTTCCCCCTTTCATGTGCCGTGGGGCGACACCCTTTCAAAGCACAGCCGGGCGCCACCCTTTTGGGCTGTTGATGCACCAGGCAGTTACGACATGTGCACAACGAGAGTGAATGGAGAGCTGTATGACGGGAAACTGTCACGTACGGTTCGGAGGGCAGAGACTCACCTGGGGGTATTAAAAAAAAAAAAGAAAAAAAAAAAGAAAAAAAAACGGGCAGAAACTCACCTCTGACCCCCACCCATTTTAGGTTTTGCTTTAACTGAAGCTATTGCTTTATGCGGCAGAGGCTCGCCAGCACTCGCCAGCACTCGCCAGCACTTCCTTCGTTCGTGCCTCTGCCAATCCTCAGAAGCGATGATATGATATTATGATATTATACGCGGCTTTTCTTAGGAGGACGACATCCGTTATGTGGCGTTGGATCGCTAATCTTGGTTATAATAAGACCTCTACCAGAAAATGGAAAGGTACAGGGCGGTGATTTTGTCTTTTCTGCATGTGGAGAGTACTGGAGCAAGGCCCCATAGCAGCGCCATTTTGAAGTGCCACGTTTTCAACGAAAATCGCCGCGCTTTGGCATTCCAGTTTTTTTTTTTTTTTTTTTTTTTTTTGGAATCCTCCACGGCTTTTTTGCCTCACAAAAGGAGCTAATCCATATGACACAAACATCCTTTCCTGAATTTATTTTCTTTTTTTTTTTTTTTTTTTTTTTTTTTGGAAGAATCATTAGCTTTTATTACAAATGAAAGGAGGCCGGGGGCCAAGTCCCACTAGCAGCTTTGAGCTACCTCACGCTTTTGCGGAGATGTGCAGAAATGGTGTGGAGTTTCCTGAACTGCACTTCTCCACAAACACGTCCAGATTCAGGCGTTGAGGTAGCTCAACGCTGCCAGTGGGACTTGGCCCCGGGGCACGGTTCCACTAGCACACGAGTCATGGCCTATTTGGACCTGTGCGGCACTGTAAGAAAAGGAAGAAAAATGGGGACGTTACATTTTCCAAGATGGGAAGGAGGGCAACTTTTGAAAGTGCTGCCGTCCCACTAACCCTCCCATCTCCTCCCCCTGCTCCCCACCCAGCCAATACCTAATCAGGACAGAGTGGTTCGTGACTGTTGCAGTCTTGCGTGTGGTACGAGGGAGTCCCTTCGTGTGCCTTATGGGACTCCCTTCTCTGACGGTTGCCATGCTGAAGCGTGCATTTCACATATTTTGAGAGAAATCGAAGTACTGGATGGGGTTAACAATTGACCGGGAAAAAGAAGGGGGTCAAAACCATGCCCTTCGAGTACTTGATTTTTTTAAAATCTTTTGAAGAGCTGCCAATCAAACGAGTCTTTCTATTTTCTTTTCCTGCCTCCCATTCTTGGGAACTGGAAAGAAAAAGCACGAAAAAGAAAAAAGAAAAAAACAGCACTTCAGAATATAAATCCCTCGCAATTTCGCTGCCATCCGATTCTCCTGCATCGGTGGTCGGACGATGTCCTGCAGATGTCCCAAAGGTGTTTGTGGGACACAGTTTACCTTACTCCTTTGCTAGTGGAACCCTGCTCCGGGGGCCTCGTCCCACTTGCGCCGTTGAGTTGAGCTACCTCAACGGTGTGACAGCTTTTCAAGCATTTTTTTATTCCGTAGAAAAGAAGAATGCATTTGTTTTTTTTTTTTTTTTTTCCTGCCCACACATTTCTTTGGAGTTTTGGTTTCCTTTCACGTGGAGCAAATCTATCCATGTCACTGCTCCTGGGGCCAAGTCCCATGAGCAGCGTTGAGTTTCCTCAACACCTGAATCTGGCGTGTTCGTGGAGATGTGCAGAGATAGTTTTTTTTTTTGTTTTTTTTTTTTAACACCCCCACCAGTGTTAGTGGTGCTGATAAGAGCAGACACCACTAGCACCTGGGGAGAGGCTCCATCTACTGGTGGAGAGCATCACCTGCTGGAAAACCCCCACCAGTGTTAGTGGTGCTGATAAGAGCAGACACCACTAGCACCTGGGGAGAGGCTCCATCTATTGGTGGGGAGCATCACCTGCTGGAAAACGGGTCCAGCGTCCCATATACAGACTGAAATAAGAATACATCCGAAAAACAATGTGGGAGGTTCCTGCCAGCATTGATTACCCTGGAATCCGGGGGATTGACTGAGCAGGACGAAAAAAAAAGGGGGGACCTCTTCGCCCTGAACCCGGCGCCAGATCCCTGCTGCCACGCACTAGTTCCTCCCTCCCCCGATCTTTGACTATATCTGCTGAATAGTGTGGATGTATCTGTTGGAGGACAGGAAAACCCTGGGGATTGGCTTTTTTTTTTTTTTTTTTTTTTTTTTCGAGGGGGGGGGGGAATTTTTTTTAGGAAGACATTAAGAAACAGACTGACGCCTGCCAGCATTGATTGCCCTGGAGTCCAGAGGATTGCTTTTTTTTTTTTTTTTTGCTTTTTTTTTTTTTTTTTTTGGGGGGGGGGGGAACAGAGCTCCAATCTATTCATGGGGAGCAGCACATGCTGGGAACCGGGCCCAGCATCCCATATGGAAATTTACATATAATTTTGAAAATTGAGATACCGGGGCCATTACCCGGCTTTGGCTCAGAAAAAAACGAAGCTACTTGGAAAATGACTACGACAAACTTCAGAATATGAACAGAATTCAGAAAACTACTCAGAAACCCCCCCCATCCATCCACTTTACCTCACTCCGGCAAGACTTACTGCAGCAGAGCCACCATCTCCGCTGCTGCTATGCCCTATTCCCATCCTCCCAGCTAGCCCCCTCGCTAGTAGGATGCGTGATATCCCACCGTCTCCTTCCCCACTCACCCCGGGGATTGGCTGAGTAGATTACTCCTTTTTTTTTTTTTTGGAAGATATTAGGAAACAGACTGACGCCTCCCAGCATTGATTGCTCTGGAGTCCAGAGGATTGACTGAGCAGGTTACCGGGAGACAAAGGGGGGGGAGGACCTCTTCACCCTGTATCGGGCGCCAGATACCTACAATTCCGCTCAAGGCTTCCTCCCTCTCCCGGTCATGCGACCAACCTCTTCTTCCTTTTTGCCTCATGGCTTGACCAGGGTTAGAAAGAGAGTCACCGGGGGGCACCGGTGCACTCTTCTTCTCTTCCCTTGTCCATGCCGAGCTAGTGCTATCCTTCTGGTGCTCTCATGCAATCTGTGCTGAGAAATGGGCTCAGCATCCCATCTGAAAAAAGGACAATTGTGAGAAAAGGGCCGTTGTTGGAAGACTGATAAAACCTCTTTTTTTTGTCTTTTACCCTCCAAGTCTTGACTATCCCACCTATTCTTCTATTGCTTGGTGGTGGGGCGGAAACGGGTCTGCAAACTCTTCTGCCGAGCGTAGAGGGACATCTGGGCTAATCGCAGTCCAGTCTTTAAAAGCCAGGTGGTAGTCCCGGGGGGCCTTTGCTCCCATAGGCTCATCTTCCCTTTGATCCTGGTTTTCCCATGGACCAGACCATATCACCTCTGCTACCCATCCCTCCCGATCACCGCCCAGCCATTCTTGGCTAAACTTCTTGATTGTCTTTAGAATGTCTAATGTCTGTTTTGTTACTGCCCACTGTCGGGACAGTTCCAATTGAAGCTGCTGTTTGAGATATTCATTTCTCTCTTCCCCATCCACCAACACCTTCTCCATGGCCAGGGCACATCGTTGCCACCATATAACCCATAGGATCGCTCTTCTTCCTAGGTGGAACATGTTCTATGCAAAGGTCTGGTTTTGGAGGACCGGACAGTATCAAGGCAAAATCGCCCTCCATGCCCATGGCCATGCGTGTCCTGGGACTAGCTGCCGCCATACTCTCTCCCACCATCTCCATGTCACTACTGCTACTGGGCATTGGAGAAAAATGTGCTCTATTGTTTTTTCCCTTTTCCGTACTGGGAAGGTCAAAAGGCACCGGGGGCACCAAGGGAGAGCCCGCCGTTGCTGTTCTAATTGAGTGTGATCGATCAGCCAGCTGTTGGCGGGGAGACAGCGATGCACGATTTGCCATTGTAAGGATGTGATCTTGGTCGGCCCGCATTTGCAGTCTCTGAACCATCTAATGGGTGCCAACAGCTGTTTGTCTATATTTAGATGCCGCTGCCAGCGCTCCTGGACAGTGTCTCTCAAACTTTTCTGACTCTGAGCTTCCGGTAGGAAGTTTTGACAGTGAGATTGCAGAGGGGCAGAGGTTTTAGCTCGCGTGCCCTGGGGTGTGCTGGCGGGTTCCACACCCACTCTGTCAGGTCCAGAGGGAGCATACTTAGCGGTATCTCAGGCCTGAAAGCTCTTTTCCCTTCGCCTTCGCCATAGACTCTCACTTTGTACAACTGGTCTTTGGAGGTCCGTACGAAGGGAACTCTGCTACCCGTTAGCCGCCCATCTTTTCCAACACTATACCCCTCAACCAGGACATCTTCTGGTCTCACCCAGTGTACTAGCCCTACTCGATTCGCAGAGTCCTTGGTGGACACCCAGTCCCCCTCTTGCAATTGCAGTCCCCTGCGCAGGATAGGGAGGCAGGCCACAAGGAAGGCTTCCAGGAGTTCCTCCAGTGCTGTTTCAAGATTATGGCAATAGCGGAGATTCTCCCTCATTTGTTCCGGTGTTTTCCAATCTCTTCTGGGTTCATCCCATAGGTCCCCTACCCGAGTGATCCTGTTCTTGACCCATCCTTTCCATGGGGAATCCAAACTGCAGAAGATTTGACTGTGTGAATTTGTGATCCACCGGTTCTCAAAAAGGGGTTGTCTTGCCACCTCTTCCCAACGCTCTGGGGGTGGGCGATCTGCGGGGGGGAGGGTTCTCCAGATTTTGATTAATCGCGGCCACAGAGCTTTTTGTGCCCCCCCCCATCTCCCCCTTCCTCTTCTTCGTCTGATCCCCTCCTCTTCGTCTGTGTATTTCTGGACCTGGCGCCTCCTTCCTGTGTATAGCGCCAGGCCCCTTCACACCTTGTGATGGGCATGATGTATGTTTGGTCTGCGTTGCAACATTGATTGGGCTAGTCATTGGTATTCTAGCATTCTACTGCGCTATATTGCATTACGCAATAGAGGTCAGTCCCGAACAGGTCAGGACTTGTATCTAAAGTCTTCCCTGCGCTATCAAGCACCATTTTGTATGTATCAGGATGTACACTGCTTGTTGAGATTTACTTGCATTGAATTGTCCATTCAGTCCTTTTTATCACATTGTGGATCCTTGGTTTATATGTACATCACCCAACTGGGCATGTAACACATACACACATACACACATACACACACACGCACACATAAATTGAATGCGGTGCTTCCACAGTCCACACCCGAACCAGTCCTGAGTAGCATATGAGTAAAGGGGTTGAGATCCTCAACAGTGTTTCGTTGAGGTCAGGTGATGGAGAAGATAGCACCATAAAAGTAATGCTCATGTCTTCTTCTTCGTAATTTTGTATTTCACTATTTCACTGTCCGGCTTGCAGGGGCGGCCACTTACCATAGGCAACGGCTGCTCCTCAACTCAAAATCTTATGCAACCCAAATACTGACTGACCTCATGTGCCGTTCTAAGGTAGTCTGCTTCCGTGGTGAGTATTGAGTACCCGCTAAGAACTCCACCTCCTATTTCCTTCCTCCCTCCTTTCTGTACTACGAGTAAATGCAGACGGATGAGAATCATTAAGAGAACAGATAAAATATAAGCTGAAGATCTTAAGAAAATGTAGAAGACTGACAACTATGGTGAATGCTGGGAGAATGGAAGTACTATTGCAAAATGGGTGTAAGAGTTTGCAACAGTGGGAGTCTGTAAGTGGAGTAGCTCTACTTGCTCGAGTTCTATCTCATCCCGAGTGGGCTGAGGTGGCTGGCTATGCTGCGAGCCTGCCATCTGACTGATGGACGGTCCTGCATTAGTCCCACTGATTGTAAAGCTGCTTCGATTTTGGATCTACTCATCTCGATGGAATAGGGGCTGTTGTGGTGAAAATTCAGAACACACACACACACAATCAGTTTATGTATGCATGTTTCTCTTGTTTTTTTTTTTTATTATTTAATTTTATTATTATTTTACAAATAGCATGCTTCATTATGTATAGAGCAAAAGGAGGCCGAGAATCCCTCCACATCTCAACCGGGAAAGACTGACAACTATGATGAACGATGGGACAATGGAAGTACTATTGCAAAATGGGTGTAAGAGTTTGCAAGAGTGGGAGTCCGTAAGTGGAGTAGCTCTACTTGCTCGAGTTCTATCTCATCCCGAGTGATGGCTGAGGTGGCTAGCTATGTTGCGAGTCTGCCATCTGACTGATGGATGGTCCTGCATTAGTCCCACTTATTGTAAAGCTGCTTCTATTTTGGATCTACTCATCTCAGTGGAATAGGGGCTGTTGTGGTGAAAATTCAGAACACACACACACACACACACAATCAGTTTATGTACGCATGTTTCTCTTGTTTTTTTTTTTTTAATTTTAATTTAATTTATTATTATTTTACAAATAGCATGCTTCATTATATATAGAGCAAAAGGGGGCCGGGAATCCCTCCACATCTTAACCTGGAAGACGAGAAAGACTGACAACTATGGTGAATGCTGGGAGAATGGAAGTACTATTGCAAAATGGGTGTAAGAGTTTGCAAGAGTGGAGGTCTGTAAGTGGATTAGCTCTACTTGTTGAAGTTCTATCTCATCCCGAGTGGGCTGAGGCGGCTGGCTATGCTGCGAGCCTGTCATCTGACTGATAGATGGTCCTGCATTAGTCCCACCGATTCTAAAGCTGCTTCGATTTTGAATCTACTCATCTCGGTGGAATAGGGGCTGTTGTGGTGAAAATTCAGAACACACGCACACACAATCAGTTTATGTATGCATGTTTCTCTTGTTTTTTTTTGTTTTTTTTTTTAATTTAATTTATTATTATTTTACAAATAGCATACTTCATTATATATATAGCAAAGGAGGTCAGGAATCCCTCCACATCTCAACCCGGAAGACGGGGACATTTACCCAGATTGGGCTCATATTGGAAACCGGGTCCAGTGTCCCTTTGCCCTGTTAAGCTACATGCTATTCCTGAACAAAGACAAAGCTGGATTAACAAAAGACAGATAGCAATAAAGGAAAGAACCTTCCAACATGCCCCTAGGTTGCACTGAAATGAATGAACTCAAAGCCCTGTGGCGTGTCCCAACATGCTACACCCTAAACCTACCTCTATTTTCCTCTGCCTAACTTCTTCCTCCCCTCTCTCTTTCCACCTATCCTCACCTTGAACCCTAAACCCTACTACTGTTGCTCTTCTTTCCCTTTACCTCGGACACCTCATCCTCTCTGTCTCCACTGAAATACGAGGCCTGAGGCCTAGATTGTTGAAACTCATAAAATTAAATCCTGTACTTCGACCTTCTTAAAAAATTTAAACGCTTTTCCACTGTTGTTATCCTACTCGTACTTTTAAATACTTCTCCTTAAACCCTAAACCCTAGTTAAATCTTTTTTTAACTTGTTTACCTATCAAAGCAAATGGAAGCTCAATGTCGAGCCCTCCACTGATGCTATCCTTCCTTGAGCCAAGACCCTTTTCTGAAAATTCTCCATTAGCACCTTGGCTTGCAGTGAGTTTTGTTGGGCCTGCTTGCAGATTCCCTTCCATTGAGCCCGTACATCTGTTTCCAGCAGGTTGAAGAGTGTCTCCTCAGCTTCGCACCTGTGCATTTGTTTGTTTCCGACGGCCTGCTGGCATCTGCGCTTCCATATTGTCCACAATACATATTGCCTTAAGCTGGAATGTGCCCTTTTGGTACTGCTTCCAGGCTGCTGGAAGACCACTTCCAATCAGTAGCGTCTCCTCACGCTCGGGGAAAGGGGAGTCCATTATTTTGTCCCAAAGTGTCCTGGCCTCGTCCCATAGGTACGCTGCTTCTGGGCAGAAAAGGAGACAGTGACGCAGAGTCTCCAGTGCTGCTTCCGTGCATTGTGTGCACTGTTGACTGGTAGGGTCGCGATGTTGTTGGCTGCGGCGCTCAAAAAGCCACGAGTTGACCGGGACTGCCATGTGAAAGATCAGCCACTGCAAACTTGTTACCCTGCTTAGGTGGATCTGATGAAGGGATGACCATGTTAATTTTGCCACTTTTTCTTTCGGTAACTGCATTATTTTCTCCCATCTAAGAGCCAAGGATTCGGCTAACGGAGATGAGCGCTTCCTGAGCCTGTAGCCCAGCCTGGTTGTGTAGTGGAGTATGTTAGTCCTTCTGGTTATGCCTAGCATGCCCCCCCTGAGATTCCAGGCCCACTCAACTGGGTCACCTCCAGATTTTGGATGTCCGTTGCTGGAGCAAATATCGTGAACTCCTCCGTCTCAATCACCTTCACTTTCCTCAGCTGGTCCTTTTTTTATGGTGATCGGGGTGCACGTTTCCTTGTCCAATTGACTTGTATAGGCCCCTGGGTGTTGAATTGTGTACATCTGCACGCTCAGCCATTCCCCTCCCCGTCCCGCTTGCCCCCCGATTATAAATGCTTCAGTTGGCGCGTCCCTGTTGGACCAGGAGGCCCACTCCCCAATATCCCAACAATGTGGTCCCTGAAGTAGCCTAGTCCAGCCTTCCCGGATTAAGGACAAGATCTCGCTAAAATCTCTGCTAGCATGTGGCTCCCTTTCATCTCTTCCCTTAGCTCTCGAGATGACTTCCACTGCTGTCTGTCCTCCGACCAGAGGTGTTTGACCTGCCAAATGCCATGTTCCAGCCAGGTTCCCCACTTAGAGTCTTTCGCAGTGAGAGTGCGAGGTTTTCCCTACTAGTCCTCGATCCATGGGTTGCAAAAGAGGGGTTGCCTTAGTACTTCTCCCTTGTGCTTGGTTCCTTGACTTTCGTCGGGAAGATTTCCACCCATACTTCCAACAGTTGAGCCCAATACGAGCCTCCCTTGGGCCACCCTTCTTCTACTCCCCCTTCGTTCTCTCGCCTTCCCTTCCTTGCCCAACTCTTGCTCAGTAGCCAGAATGTCCCTTCCATGTTGGAAGGAGTTTTATACTTGGTCTGTTTCCTAATGTGTTCCATAGCTAGCGGTACCCATGGAAGCTGTGGATGTGTGATCAACTTCAAGATCCACTTTGTCTGGACTGCCTTCAGTTGCTGTTCGGGGTCTAATGTGTCGAGTCCCCCTTGGTCCTTGGATTTGATAACGTGTCGTCATGCCACCTTGGAGATAAAATGTTGCTTAGTTGGATTCGAGGTCCACATGAAGGCCGCTGACTCCCTCCCTAGTTTCTTCATAGCCTGGAATGGTGGAGTCCATATCGTGCCGGCGTACCATATCATAAAAAATATAGTGTTGAGAATGGGGGCCCTCCCAAACGACGAAGTGTAGACTTGGGACCATGCGCTCATCTTTGTTAGCATTTTGACCAGGAGTTCCGTTGCCATCGAGTGGTGCGGACCGGAGTCTGCCATTCGTATCCCTACATACCTCAAGGGTTCAGCTCTTGCCATCCAACTCATACCGCCATAGTTTGGTGGGTGGGGTTGTTCCTCTTCTCCCTCTTGTACCATCCACCAACCCATTGTCTTGGGCCAATTGATTCTCATTTCTGATGCTAGCTGGAAGGCACTCATTGCCCGTGTGAGGGCTTCGAAGGAGGAGTCTGAGGCCCGTATCAGTACTGTCATGTCATCCACAAACAGTATAGTTGTGGGGAGCTTGATGCTTCTACCTTGCTGGTCTGGCTCTGCTAGTAACCGGTCTATTGATGGGTCTTTCCTTAGGAAGTTATCGCCTCCATAATGACGAGAAAGATAGGCGCTGCGAGGGGGTCTTCCTGACGAACGGACCTTGTCATTTTGTACCTCTGCGACAGGTGGCCATTTACCTGAACCTGCCCATGAGCGTCATTGTAGAGAACTCTTATCCATTTCCGAAAGTTAGGACCCACTCCCATTTTTTCCATACATTGCTGGAGGAAGTTCCAATTCACCTGGTCGTACGCCTTTTCAAAGTCAAAGAATAGGATAGCCGCGTTAATTCTTTTCTCCCCGGTGTATCTTACTGACTCCGAGAGCGTCATTACATTGTCCGGGATAAAACGTCCTGGAATGAATCCAGTCTGGTCTAAGTGGAAACATCCCCTGGTTACCGTACTCAGTCTGTTGGCTAGGGCCTTCGCTACAATTTTGTGTGTTAGTGTCAGTAACGTGATGGGTCTGTAGTTTTTTATGTCTTTAGGAACCCCCTTTTGTAGAGCAACGTAACGATGCTGGTGGCCAGATCCACGCCCAGACTCTCGTCTTGCTAGGATTCATTTAAATATTGCTCGTATTCCCCTCCCAGAATTGGCCAAAATTCTAACCAGAATTCCCTCGTGAGTCCGTCCTTTCCTGGTGTTTTGTTTGGGGACATCGACTTGAGTGTTGACCAGAGTTCTTCCTGTGAGAGGGGAGCATCTAGCATCAGTGCTTGTTCACCGCCTATCATACGCTCTAAGTAGGTGAGAAACTTGGTTCTTGCCTCCGCAGTTTGTTGGGTCGGCTGATCAGACTCTCTTGATGTGTAGAGTGTATTGTAGAAGTTGTGTGCCACTGATATCATGTCATCTGCTTCGGAAACCACTCCTTGAGGGCCTTCGAGATGTTCGATTAATGTGTTTCTTCCCCGGGTTTTGATCTTCTGAAAAAAGTATTTTGTCATCTGCTCTCCTTCCTCCCATTCTTTGACTCTTGCTCGCATTTGCAATCCTCGCATTCTCCATTTTTCCCCATCTCCCAGCTCGCTCCTTGCCGTGTCCAACAGTTTTTCATAGAATTCATGGCCTGGGTTATGGATCGGATGCTGCTCAGCTATGTTGAGGGCTTGCTGTAGCTCCTGTTCCCGTGCGTTCCTTTTGGCCGCCAGCTGTCTCGCCACCGTCGCTGCCGCTGCCGACATGGAAGATAGCAATTTAGGGAAAGAGTGGTTTTTTGAACTATGGGCCAGGCACGCTTGTGAGATGGCCTGTCTAATGTAGTCTGTAGTAAGGAGTTGTTGATTTTGAAAAAGCTCCTACCCCTTCTTATCTGTTTGAGCGTGGTAAGGTTAAGAAGGATTGGGTTTGTGATCAAGACCACTAATGTATGGTAGGTCCCCTATTCCTACTGAATGAAGTGTACCTATTAAAGCTTGTGAAATTAAATAGTAGTCAATTCTTGACGCCGAGATGTGTTGACTCCTGTTTCTCTTGCAATATGTGAACTGTCACTGTTCTGGGTAGTGGAGTCTATATGGATCAACGAGGTCCCATTTGGTCATCAAGTCGTGGATGGGTAGTGAATCCTCTCCTACCATATTCTACCCCCCCTTGACCCCGACATCCTGTCTCGTGCTGGCTCCAGGGTAGCATTCCAGTCCCCTGCTAGTATGATGTGCCTTGCTGGTTCAATCTGCGTTTGTAATTCTTCCAACATGGCCGATCATGGCTGTCCCGTATTTGGGCAGTAAAGTGAGAGCAGTGTAAACGCCTCATCCTGAAAAATAAAATTGATCCTAACCCATCTGCCCTCTGTGGTGTCCGCTCCCACTCGGCAGGGGTGCATGTTTCTCTTGTTTTTTTTTTTGTTTTTTTTTTTTTGTTTTGTTTGTTTGTTT